TTTCATAAAAAAAAGCATTAAATTAACCAATGCCCAAGAAAATAATGTGTCTACTTCTTATGTACTTAATAATGTATCTACTCGTTATATTAATAACGAGGTTAGTAAGAACCTTTACGTAAATGATAAATATAAAAAATACAGATTTTCCAGGGTTTATAATTTACTAAATTATTATCTAAATAAGCGCCTTTCTACAACGCCACTGACGCCAAAATAGTAAATTTGACTTACCTGTGGAATGTTGTTCCAGGACTTAAATAGTCCAATTTCTTACAAATTTGGCACTGACGAACATGTTTTATAGTTTTAAATAAAAGGTAATCAAAATAAACACTAAACCGACACTACACACTAAGAAAATCGAATCCAAAAAAAATACAAAATCAAAACATCCAATAAAAACAATAAAATAGCCATGGCGAAACTGTGACAACAAGGTTTTACGACACGTGCTTTACTCTACTATGGCTCTACTACGAGAGAATAAAGAATGAACAGGCGACCCGGCGATTGATGGGTGTTGCCAAATTGTAAAGAATTTGTCATTTTTAAATAGTCTCCGTCTTATAATTTAGTAGTATAGGGACTATTTAATACATCTTTCTACTATTAAACACTACTTTATTAAAATACAGTTTTAATATCTCAATATATGTGTATAACAACAAAAAAAATATTAATAATATTTTAGACGTGACAACATAGGCTGGAGGCGAAAGACTCAGACGGCCGAGGTCAGCTGCACCCAGGAGTAAACATGTTTACAAAAATTAATATTGGACCGCGCTTAAATGTAAATAGTGTAGTCTATATTTTATTCTAAGTCTATGGTTGTAGTCTATTAACTAGGCAAAGTATAGTCGTGGCACTCGTCGTAGTTTCACAGATATGTATTTAGAAAAATATGAGTTCCCAATAAAATAAAATAAAATAAATTAATCATCGAGTAAAAACTTGCTTCAAAACAGAATGTTTTCACATTTCGTGTAGGTAACAATTCTTCTGTATCTGAAAATCTTCTGATGGGAAGAAATGCGGAAAATATATATATAATGACATATTTTTATATTATTATCAATTTCAGAGATTTTCTTCAATTTTTTTTTATTTAAAACAAGTTTAATTTTCTGTAGATAACTGGATTCTATTTAAAGCACACTGCAGTGTTGCCATTCTATTTCTTATTTACTAAAACTTTGGTTAAAAACATTGTATATAAAAAGTGGCAAAAAACTAGAGTGAATATAACTTTATTAATACTTAGCTATGTTTTCTTAAACATGACAAGGACACCAGAATAAATTCGTGTAGAAAAATTTACTTTATCGTATACAGGGTATTTTTTATGGCGTCACCAAAATCGTAATATTTAAAATGTTGTATCTCATTTTTTTTAAATGCAACACCTAGTATATTAATTTTCTTTCAGATGTAGAATTAAAAAGTGAACATTTTTTGTATTTAAAGTGTTCCAATATTACATTATTCTCTATATAGAATGATGTATATTGAATGATGTAAAATAATTTAAAAAAAAATAAAATTAACTTTACCATAACTTTTTTGTGACACCCTGTATATAAAAAAATATAAATATATATATAATAATATTTTAGGATACGACCCTTTATAAACCTTGAAACTTGGAAGATTCCGTCCGCAACCTGGAATGGGAATCTTGCAACGGTCTAAGACACTCGAAGAAGTTTCTGAGGACTTGTGATCAAGAAAAATCAGAGATCTTCCTGGGTTTAAGTAAGAACAATCTTCAGATTGTCACGGGGTTTATAACAGGACACTGTCTCCTCAATGAACACCTCAGTAGATTGAAAATAAGAAGAAACTAGTAAGGTCGCAGTGATTAACTCCCCTCCCACTTATTCTAAATTCTAAAATTCTGAAAACCTTGAAACATATGAATAAAACTTTTTTCACATCTTCGACAAGAACGACGATATTGGACTTCCTCGCAATAATGGGCCACCCTGTATATTTACGGTGGTTTAAAGCTAGGTGTGGCACTTTTCTTCCCTCAAATATAAACTCAATATTTTGTCTATAATATTTTGAATATTATTATATTACGACCACTTATAATAAAAAATAAATAATATAAAAAAAACATAAAAAAATACAGTCCACTAAATTTATAATAGATTGTGCTATTATAAAATTCTTTCATTTAAAAAATATGAATAATTTGCGGAGACTTTAGATGTACAAAATATTTACTCTAAAATTGTTTCAAAAACCAATCTATATAAATTATCTCGTAAATTATTATTGGAATGAAAATTTTATGGCAAATCCCCTGACCAAAGAATATTTTCATGCGCAAATTTGAGACAACCTGTATATCTAAAAAACTATTTCAAGATTTGCACACATGCTAATAAAAATAATAACATTTAATTAATTACATAATATCCCAGCTTCTAAAATAAACAAATATAATTAAATGTTTATTGATAATTATTATCAGCTTGCCGATTTACATCCGATGGAAATCCAAAAAAACTCAAAGAACAATTTTTTGAATTATTACTACAGTTAATAGCAGCACACAGTAAGGCACTCATTTTTTGTCAATCCGTCTCAAATGTCCGTCTCAATGTGCTGGGACGCAACGCTCGAACCTCGCAGCTCGACGGACGGAATTCAACTGAAACGCTTTGCAAGCTGCCGATATTCGACAGCTTGCAAAAACTGGCAGAAAATATTTGCGAGAATGCAACTACTCTTTTCCTTAAACTATGGTACAAGCCGACCAAGCCAAGGCTTGTAGCGCCAAATCTGAAAGGGCGCCACATTTTCCAGTCAAAAGACACAGTGCACCTCATTAACCGATTACCGAAAAAGATATGAAATGAAACTAAGAAGCAGTTTCAACCGAAGATAGAAAAAAAACGGCTTTTTGAACGACTTAGAAAGTTAAAAGAATTACAAGTTGATGTAATGGATTGTAGAGGACAAAGTTACGACAATGCTGCTAACATGTCTTGCTGCTATACGGGATTACAAGCAAAAATTAAAGAAATCAATCCATTGGCGACATACGTTCCATGTGCAGCCCATTCACTGAATCTAGTAGCACACATCCTCAGTTGACTTTTGTGTAACTTCGACATCATTTTTTGGCGTGGAACAGGAATTATACAACTTTTTTTCGGTATCAACACAAAGATGGTCTTTGCTTGAGTCCAAGTTTTCTATTAAAAATTTATCAGTCACCCGCTGGAGTGCACGAGCAAATGCTAGTAAAGCTTTATATACGTCATACCATGAAATATCTGAGGTTTTGCTATCAATAGCTGAGGATGAACATAAAAAATCTTCGACAAGATCGGAAGCAAAAAATTTAAAGATTAATGCGATTCGAAGTTGCAATAATGAGTTGTTTTTGGCATGAAATATTGGAAAGATTTAATCAAACAAGCAAAGCTCTTCAAGCAGTTGACATTGATTTACAATCAGTGCTTGGATTATATGAATCTTTACAAGGGTATTTAACTAATCTAATATACGAGATCAGTTTGAATCTTTTCTGACTGAAGCTGCTACTTTATGCCAAAATAATATTTTCCAGTATGATATATCCAGGAAACGAAAAAGAAAAGTACCTTTTGACGAAGCAAAAAGTGACACACATTTTACAGACGGAAAAGCGAAATTTCGAATAACTGTATTTTTTCCCTTAATAGATAAAATAATAAATAAACTCATAAAAAAGAAAGATGCGTACTAAGAAGTAGAGAAAGAGTTTGGTTTTCTTACCAATCCAGCCTGCTTAAGTGATGAAGATCTTACGCAAGGTTGCTTGAAATTGATCAATACCTATAAAAATGATCTGGATATAGCTATTGAAAATGAAATCCTCCAAGTTAAATATATTCCGAATCTTCCGCTGGACCCAAGGAACTTACTAAAATCACTTAAGAAAGAAAATCTAGTTGGAATATTTCCAAACTTAGAAATAGCATTAAGGCTGTTTATATCCAAGGCAGTAACCAATTGTTCAGGAGAGAGATCGTTTTGGACTTTTAAGAGGGTTAAGAATTATTTGAGATCCAAGTTGGGTCATTCTAAACTTAGTGACTTAGCCTTAATGTCCATAGAATCAGATTTACTTAAAAATTTGGACGCAACAGAAATAATACAAGTTTTTGAGAAAATAAATCCAAAAAAAAAATGTTTTTCATAAGGTTATTTTGTTTTTTAATACTTATTACATAGCTTAGTATTTATGTTATTAGGGTAAGAAAAAGCATGTTTTTTAGATTTTAATTTTTTTTATATTTATGTTTATCTAGAATAGATAATATCTAAACTCGATCGTTTATTGTCGTTGAGAAATAAAATGTTTTTTGTAGTTTGAGAATAAAATGTTTTGTACTTTTACTTTTTCATATTTGGGTCATTTGAATAATGAAAAAAATAGATGGAGTAAAAATAGGGGCGCCAAAATATCCCAGGGCTTTGGGCGGTTTCAAGTGTTAATACGCCTCAAACTATATCTATCGCACCTTAACTGGTTATATTTTCTATACGTAGTATACCTTACCTTGTTGACGTTACGAGCCGCGACATTTGGAGTTTAATAGGTGCAAAACATTGCGGGAACGAAGGACAAAATGAAATTTTGACCGGCAGTAAAGAAAATGGGTAAAATAAAACGTTTTGAAGCGAAAATTGGACAAATTGATGGTTTTTGGGAATAGTTTAGAATATCTTGGAATAAAAAAAAATTATTTACAAAAAGTATAACTAAACAGGTTTTTCCTAATTTTCTTCTGATTTTTTTTGGGGGGGGGGGGGCATTGACCATTTGACCTTATGGTTAAGCCGCCACTGCTAGTAAGCCATAAACTTTTCCAAAAATCCGAGAGGCGCATATGTTTATCCTCACAAAACTGAAAAGATACCCATAGAGAACATCGTAAAAAACTCACCCTGCTCTTTGTCGATGTAGAAATGCTCATCTGTGTTGTTATTTATACCTGTAAAGCACTAGGTATTTTCTTAAGTCTTTTAAGTCGTTTCGGTTTATAACTGCCTGCCTCGATTGTTGGCTTTTTCTTTAAATCCCAAACGCATATCGAACCATCTAAACTAGAACTGATGATCTGCATGGAATGATTGACTACACCATCCTTTTCTTCTGCCTCTAATATGTTGCCCGTTTTTGAAATCTCGAAAAATGGATCCATCCACGTCAAACCTGTATAATCCGTCAAAATTAAACAGCATGAAATTTTGTAAAATTGAAAAAATATTTGCTGAAAATACTCTACAGGGTGGTCCGAACTGTATTCCGGAAACTTAGGTCAGCATATTTTACAGATAAAAATAAGTAAAATTGTTCATATAAATGTGTCCTAAAATACTTAGTTTTGGAGATACAGGGTGGAGAAATTTAATTTTTATTTCGATTTTTTTTTAAAAATTTCTGAAGTAATGTCAATATTTGGTTGAAAATTGATGTCTGGTAGTTTTTTGACGTGAGAAATTTCGATTTTGATGTAAATATGACTCTTATTTGTAGGGGGCGCCATCTACATGTATTTTAACTTAAAGTGTTTTGAAGATTAATAACTTTTTGTCCGTACCTGTAAAACACTACTGAGTAAAAAAAATCTACATTTTCGTGACTTTCTACGTAAAAAACTGTTCTCAAGATATTTAGAACGGAAATGGTCAATACATATCACCTACTGACAAAAAATAAACAATTTGAGTAAATAGTTAGGTACCCACTTGACTGAAATAATAAATTCGGGAAATTTTTATTTTTTTAAATTAATCACAAATCTTTCTGCGAAAAAATGATGATAAAGAACTTTTGGCACAAAAACATTTCAAATTTGTGATTTCAGACTAATAGGTAACTATTTTTAGTTAACATATTTAATTTATGTCAATGACAGTCAATGATGATAGATACTGATAATTTATATTCCTAATATCTCAGGAACCATTACTCGTAGCGATTTTTCGATAGGAGTCATATTGACATCAAAATCAAATTTCTCATGTCAAAAAACTCCCAGAGACCAATTTTCATCCAAATATTAACGTTACCCCAAGTAGCAAATTTTATTTTATAAAGGCTGTATAAACAGCTATGTGATTATTTTTATAGGATACCTCAATTCGTATAACGTGCTATAAGACCGTAATATGATAGCTTTACAACCAAAAAAGGCCCATTTTTATACAACCGTTTAGTAGTATAGAAGTTCTATAAAAAGGGTATACAACTCTTATGCAACTATTTTACACAGCGTTATAATTTTCATATTATAAAACTAGTTTTATTGTGTATTACGTGGTCACATCTAAGAAACAGTACAATAAAAACATTTGATCATTTAGCGAGGTAAAAGAGTATTTTATTTTTTACCGAAGAATATCAGGAGCAAATTATATTTTAAGCGTGTCGTAAAATGAATCTGGAGGATGTGGATTGTTAAAAAGGAGACTTTACTCGACGGTGAAAATGGCGGGTAGAGCCAGAAGGTACAACAAATATGTAATATAAAAAATCATTGGGTTTGAAAGGTAGGGACAATTTTTGTTGCGCCGAAAATTTTACTGGTAGATTATAGGTATGTATTTGGCAAAAAATTAAAGCGCTTTAATTTCGATTAAGGTTTACGAATAAATTTAAACAATAAAATAAAATAAAATTTTCAAAAATTCTTGTTTTTAATTTAATTAAACAGATTATTACTGTTTGTGGAAATATTATCACAAAATAGTTCTCAAAAATAACATTTTACAATTTATTTTGATGTTTTTAATTTTGCTTCATATAATGGCGGCCATAGGCCATACAAAAATTCTGCCTTAAACATGGCGAATTATAATGCAACCATTTTATTATAAATGAATCCCTTAAATAAGTCTTTGTTGTAAAATAAAACGGTATAGGATAAATATCTATCATTACGCAGAATTTCCAGGCACTATAGAACTATTTTTGACATATTGAGGTTTGTGACAAATAGATGTTGCCAAATTTCATTTGGTTAGTATTTAAACTAACAAACATGACCAGATTTTCATGGATTCATGCACGCAATGCATTTCATGCATGCCCGACGAGTGAGCGGCAACCTAAGGACTTGGAAAAACAACAATAAAACAATACAAACATCACTACAGTAAAAATTTTACATCAACGTGGCAACAATGCTTTGAAGAAGCCAGACAACCCGAGAGATTTTGGCTTTTGGGAACCCAGGGAATTCTCGCGATTATTTGCCGTAATTTCGAGGAGTTTTTTCTTACATGCTTTTTATAACTACCACTGCGTTTGTTACCTTTTTTCCAACTTTGTCCAGAATTCATAATAGCTGTGATTATACTTCTACGTAGATATTACTCACAACAATAACAAAATAAATAACTAGGTATACCATTTAATTTAAAATGAGGTTATATTATACATTACCAGTTTTATAATGCAGATATTAGAGAACAACGGCATACGGTCGAGTCGGCCGCTGCTGGCACGTATACGTAGACGTAAAGCATCTTTTACGTGTATAAAAAATAAAAAATATGAGAAATGCGCAGGCGTACGTAAACGTTTACGTGTTTGTAGGCCGACTCGACCGTATGCCGTTGTTCTCTATTACAGCAAATTTATTTTGTTAATTACAATTTTATCATATAAGGCTATATAACTAGTGTTGTATACAGCACCGTAGTTTAATGCAATAAAACATTCTATTATACAACTTTAATAAGACAAGTTTAAGTAACTATTATATGATCTTGTGACTACTAGTTATATGAATATTATAGAACTCTTACATGGTGGGTATAAGAGTCTAATAAAAGAATATGTTTGTTATCATATAGCATTGTCTTATTAAGTGTTATATCATACTAAAAGAAATTATCGTTTAATGCGTTATAGAATACGTCCTTAAGACAACGCTTAAGCAGTCCTTAAGACAACGCTATTCGACTGTTATAAAATAATTCAATCCTTTTAGAATTTCTTTTTGCTACTTGGGACTTCATAAATTATTAGAAAAAAATCTCTCTCTCTCTCTCTCTCTCTCTCTCTCTCTCTCTCTCTCTCGAAATAAAAATGAAACTTCTACACCCAGTATCTCCGAAACTAAGCATTTTAGGACATATATTTATTCGAAGTTTTTTTTAATTATTTTGATCTGCAGAATATGCTGCCGAAGTTTCCGGAATATAGTTCGGACCACCCTGTACACAGGGTTATTCACCTCATTCGAGTATTTAAGTTTTTAAAACCAAATATTGTACTGAAATTTAATATATTTTGTGTTGCAATAATAAAAATAGTACCTCCTTATATAAAGCGTCTAAAAATTCATTTTAAATAATTACTAGCTTTAAACGGTAATAACTTGTTTAATTTAAACGGAACACCATGTATATTTTACATGAATCAGATGCACAATCTAATTGTCTATCAAATTGTACCGTATGATCGAAAAATGAAGATTGCTGTCATTTTAAATGTAAATTTATATGAGAAATGTCATTGATCGTCATTTCCCAGCCAACTGGACGCCGTTTTTTTTTCGATCATATGGTATTATAAAAAATTTTCCATATCTCTTTAAGTTTTCGTTGAATATGCATTTTCTTATACTTTAAACCTTAAACCATATTTATCAATATACCCATGGATAATTGACATTTTAGATAAAATTTTTAAAGATATAACAAATTGCCATAAAGTACAGATACTAATATCGATTTAGTTCGCTTATTTCTTTAAAAAATAAAGAAACTATTTAAATATTTTTAAAAGCGGACCAATTCCAGTATTCGAATTACATTAACTGACTATTTGCGTTGATTCATAATTGCACCAAATAATAAAAAAAAAACTGAATTTTGTATCTGTATTATAGAGTGTAGTAAAAAGTAAGACCTTCTAAATTTTATTTAATTTTTTGACAAATGCCGATTTATAATAACAGAGACGTTCACAGTTATAACTTACTAATATATTAATTTCTGATTCAGAGCCACATTTATTTTGAATAATTTATTAACTAACACAATGAGGTATATAATTAATATTTGGGCGGAAATAATGATGGTATATTTAATTGGTATACTCTTTTATAAAGATTTAAATAGTTCTCTTTTTGTAAATAAAAAAAAATATTTCAAATAATTAGCATCTGTACATTTTGTAAATATGTTACTTTTAAAAAAAAAATCTAAAATGTCAATATTCCATGAGTACATTAATATTGGGGGTTCAGAATTATACGACGTCATTCGTTGCGTATCTGAGTGACTTTTTTGAGTGAATTTCTGAGTGAATTTCACAACCTGCATCAACAATGCCTTGAAAAATCAAGCGAATCGCTCGTCGCTTGCTACTTGCCATTCTTCACTGAAAGAATATGTGATCTGCGCACGCAACTTACTGCTTGGCGTTACGGGCACAACAAGCGACGGGCGAAAACCCGTATTTTTAAATACGAGCGATATTTCGCTCGAGCGACCGCTCGATTATTGAAATCCCTTGAAACTCAAGTACTAGATTATTGAAATTAATCGGTTTGTCCCATCACTACTCACAAAATCGTAAATATTTCAAAAACGGTCGCATTAAAGTGCGGTAAACCTTAATCAAATTTTCCTTTATTTTAATCGTAGAAAATAAAAATGTAATAATATATAGGGTACCTACATTTAAGAAAATAAAACTTTGATATTTTTTATTTATTCGAAACACTGTGTATCCTGTTAAAATATTTTTAAATTGTAGCTCTAATAGTTCTTCAACGAACCCAAAACTTACAATACAACAAATACAACAAAATTAATATTAACATTTAAAAATTAGGTACTTGAATAATTGAATTCTGGTTGTCTTGACTTGGGGTAATTATATTGATTTAAGTCATTTTACTGACTTAACTTGCAGATAATCATGATTTAAGTGAGTAGCCTGAAGTCAAAGGTCTTAAGTCAAAGTTGGTCTTAAGTCAAAGAAAGGGATGCTTTGGAAAAGCATCCCCTTCGTATTGATCATTTAATAAAAATTAGCTATCGGGAAATTCCGATTCCTTCGGTTCCAAAATCCCTGGTTATAAAGAGGATTGAAATAAAATAAAATCCTATTGTAGCTCCTATAGATAGATATGGTATTTCACGTACGAACAGACAACACTGTATGCCGCTTTTTCTTTCGTCTCTCTCTGTTAACTAGTCGTATAAAATATATATCTGTCTTATGCAGTAAAATACAGACCACGGAAATATAAAAACCAGATTGTACGTAGATATATAAATTACTAGTAAGGAGTTTTTAAGAATATAAATAATTGTAAAGGCTACTATACCGGGTGCGTCTCATAAGTGGCTCGCCCCTACAACTTTTTTATTTTTTTAGATAAAAAAAACGAGATATTAGTATATGACATAAATTAGGATTGATTGACGTACTCAATTGCTTTTGTCACTTCCTGTTTCACTGGAAATGACTACAACTTTTGATTTTTAAAAGGCACCCTCGATATTTTTCGAGGTATTTTTTTACTTTATTCGAAGGAAAAATTTATGTCATATATGTCATATAATACAATATATGTCATTCTGAATAGAATGACATATCATATGTCAACTTTTGACATTTTCGCTTAATAAAAAATCGTATTTTAAATTTCAATCTAGTGCCATGGCTATGTAAAAAAACACTAATTTTTAATCAAGAAGCCTTGGAAAAATATATTTGATCGTCTAACGTTTTTAGTCTATTGTCGTGGTCGGTTTAAAGATGCCCAAATTGTATTTTTAATCATATCTCAAGTTTTTCAAATGGAATGAGGATGGTTCATTAGCATATTTGGAAAAATATTTTTTTTGATTAGAAGAATTTAAAAGAATTATTTGATACTACACACTTGGTATTTCGAGTCAAATTTTCGTTATGAACCGGATGTTATAATTTCAAATAAACAGTAGGTATGTGAAAATGTCAAAAGTTGACATATTATATGTCATTCTAATCAGAGTGTTATTTTCTATAGAATAAAGTAAAAAAATACCGAGGGTGCCATTTAAAAATCAAAAGTTGTAGTAATTTCTGGTGAGACAGAAAGTAAAATGACAGAATGTAAAAATCTAATCGTTTCGCTACAATAGTCCGTGCGGAATGATGTGAATAACCCTATAAGTATTTAAAAGCAGGCAATTTTTCAAATTTTAGATTAGGATGTTTTAATACGAAAAGCCTTTACAGTAGAGATTAGTATATGTACCTGTCACAGCTAATTTGTGGGAATAACGAAGATTAGAAACTGCAGTTGGTCTTATTACAGAGACATCATAAATATTTTTCATCCATTTCATCAAGGAATGCATGTAATTACGATACTTTTGTTGTGCTGTTGTTAAAACCTCTTTCTCCTCGACTTTTTGAAGTTTATTACGAATGTCCCAAATTACCTTAATTAAGTTATGAAAAAGACTTTATAATTTCAAATAAATTTAAATTGGAAATTGAATTATCTGTGTGTACTTACTAACTGGCCATTTTTGCAACCTCCAATCAATATATTTTCATCAAATCTACAAAAACTTAAAAACCGAACTTCTCTTGGCGATTCAAGAATTAATTTAGGTTTTAAACAATCTTTAAAACTCCAGATTAATACAGGATTTGTTCCATGAACTGCCTCGTGTACCTATAAATAAAGTGCATGTTTATTACCGTATTATCGACAAAAAACTGCGTCAAATTAGCTTGGAAATGACGATCAATGATATTGTTGATTATACAGGGCGAGTTTCCTACGATGTTCTCTATGGGTATCTCGAAAACTACTACAGATAGAGAGTCGGTTAAATGGGGAAAGAATTGCAGTTTTGTGGGGTCATGAATATGGGCCTTTCAGATTTTTGAAAAAGTTCACGGCTTACTAGATATTTCGAAAAAAACAAATTTCGGCTATTTTAAAATTGTTCCTAATTCCATTATAATCTATTTTAGACCAAAAGTTTGCAGATAACAGTTGTAGATAATCACATCCTTAATCAGATTGTACCCTCTGCTTTTTTCTAAAGCCTGTCATTTTTGACATGTGATATAAACATATTTTTTTTAATGGAAACCATAGTTAGCCATGACTTCATAAAAAGCGCCGCCATTTTTTAAGCTTTTTAGCGATATAAGCTATAATATGTTTTTTTCGAAAAATTACTGAGTTCTTATCATGAATTCTTATCATTTTTAAACTTTACTAAATTCTTATCATTTTTATACAATTTCACATAGTTAGCCATGGAAACAAGATTAATCGCTCTATATTGCTCTCAGAAATGTGAAGCTGTCACATCCAAATTTTGTAAATTAAAATAAACAAAAATTGTAAATATGAATTTTTCAAATGAAGAAAAGCGTGTATACTCGCGCATCAATAGAGTGGTTCCAACATGACTCATTATGAACCCACCCCATAATGAAAAAAATGTTAAAAATTATTTATATCATAATTATGCAAACTCAGGGACAGGAAGAGGTGGACCAATTGCATGGGCCTCCTCGATCACCTGACCTATCCATTTTTTTATGCGGTATGGTTAACAATGAGGTTTTAAAACTTATGAATTAAGAGAGGCACTCGAAGTGGCGGTACAAGAGAAGTTTTATACGAGAGAAGTCGACCGGTCCTTCTGTGAGAATAGGTAGTAATTCAGTTTTAAAGAGGTGCAACTCTCTCAAAACAATGGCGGATTTTTTGAACATTTTCTAAAATAACTTAAAGTGTATGTAGTGATATTAATTTTTAAGTCTTAGTTTGTGTAAAGTAAATTGTAAAGGACCGTTTATCTTCTCCTAGGAGATACAAGACCTTGTCGTTGGTGGGGAAGCTCCTTGTCAGGTGCTGGAGGGAATCCCCTAGCACCTGGCTTGGTCTAAGAAGCATCTCACTCATCGTCTTGTCCCTAGCTGTAGTGACGTGGCCAGGGAATTTCTCCAAGACATAACGATGCCGGACGGGGCTACCCCTGTCCGTCATACCAGGCACCCTCTACTGACAGTGGTCAAGTCTCGCGGGTAGAGGGTGTGGGGGGGTCTTGGCTTAACCGCCCGGACCAAGAGGAGACAACCTCACCAAAATCCTAAATCCTACGATGGCGGGACCAGGTCAAAGGGATGCGTGGCTAGATAGAGGACTAGCCTTTACTGGTCTCAACCTTGGGGCATCAGGGGGCACCCCATTGTATTTACCCCTTACTTCTACATGCGGAGCTCTGTAGAAGTGGACCGACTATCCCTAGCGACTCGTGGGAACACTATGAGATCGCACGATCATAATAACACCACCGGTGAAGCTGTGGGGAAACCCCCTAGTAACACTGGGAACATTATGAATGAAAGTTCCAAGGGACCAACTCCAAAGGGAACTACAGGAGAGGCGGCCGACACCTGCGCGAGGCTAGCCTCCACAAGTGGTACACGAGCTATCACCTCCTTTAGTAAGGGTCGGGAGTCTACCTCTAGACCCAACAAGTGACACAAGCTACCGTTTGGTTTGGTTCGATAGAAACATGATGCATGGGATATCCCAGATAAACTTGCACCATGCAAAAGGGTCTTCTGCCACAATCGCAAGACTCTTTGAGAAAAACCAACATGCAATGGTACTAGCCCAGGAACCCTGGGTATATCAGGGACAAATTAAGGGGCTGTCTGGAAAAAATTCCAGTGTAATATATGATAACAAGCAGGAATTTCCCCGAGCTTGTATTCTTATAAGAAACAACATTACTACACCTGTGTTTCAGAATTTACAACCCGAGATTTTGTTCCAATTATGGTTCAACTAAATATCGAGGATTGTAGCAAAAATATCGTGATTGCCTCTGCATACTTTCCGGGTGATGGGCAGACACCGCCTCCGGAAGTAGTGGAGCTCGCGCGATTCTGCAGCCAACGGCGACTACCTCTGCTATTGGGATGTGACTCCAATACGCACAATGAGGTATGGGGAAGCACAAATACTAAACTAGAGGTGAGTGTTTACTAGAATTCCTCTTAGCATTCAATCTTGAAGTTCTCAATATAGGGAACACTCCCATGTTTGTGACAAAAACGCGGGCGGAAGTATTAGATTTAACAATCGGGAGTGCTAGTGTAACTAGTTACGTGAAAGATTGGAGGGTATCAACGGAACCTTCCCTATCAGATCACAGAATCATCGAGTTCAAATTAGGAGGAATCATACTCCAAACAGAAACACGAAGGAATCCAAGAAGAACCGATTGGGAACTATACCATACCAATCTCGTAGAGAACCTGGACCAAATAGATGCAGGTAGGGCTAGGAACCACCTGTATCTAGAATGGTACGCAAGGGAAGTCAGTGGTGCAATATTGGATGCATATGAATCTAGTTGCCCCACAAGTAAGGGCATACAAAAAAATAACAACAAGCCCTGGTGGAACAAGAAGCTGGCCAATCTTCGGTCGGAGGTCCGACGACTCTTCAACAGAGCCAAACACAGCGGCGAATGGCAGCTCTACACCGAGAAATTAACTGACTATAATAAGGAGATTAGAAGGGCAAAACTGTCTGACTTCAGATCCTTTTGCGAAAACATCACTTCAACTACTTATGCAGCTAGACTACACAAAGCTATAATATGCTATAAAGCCCATCCCCAACATGGCACTTAAGAAACCTGACGGAAGCTACACGGAAGGAGATGAAGAGAGAGCCAACCTCCTACTTCATACACACTTTCCAGGTAGCATATCTATTGATACGCAAGTAGCTCCGACCGAACCCCACAATCCTCGCAGGGAAGACTGGGAGACGGCCAAGCTAGTAACACCAGAACAAAAACTGAAATGGGCTATTGACACCTTTCAGCCTCATAAAACAGCAGGAATAGATGGGATTTTTCCTGCCCTTCTAAAGAAGGGTGAGCAAATAGCTACACACCATATATTAAACATTACAAAAAGCAGCTTAGCGATGGGATATATACCAACCATCTGGAGAAGAGCGAAAGTAATCTTCATACCCAAAATAGGCAAAACTGACTAGGCTAACCCCAAATCATTTAGGCCTATTAGTCTCACATCGTTCATATTAAAAACGATGGAGAAAGTAGTGGACAACCATACGCACGATAGTCAGCATGCATATAGAGCGGGCAGATCCACAGAAACTGCTCTGTACCAGTTAACTGAGCTAATACAGGCAAGCCTGGATAGCAAAGAAACAGCACTTTGTGCCTTCTTGGACATTGCAGGGGGGTTTGACAATATACCTCACAAGGTGGTCAAGCGATCTTTTGAAACAAGAGGGGTGAACAATGGTTCACCCCTGGTTTTGGGAACGACGCTGGTTTTGGGAAATACTCTCAACACGAACAGCAGAAGCTGAGATAGGTGCCAAAACTGTAGTTGTTAAAACAACGCAAGGAACTCCACAAGGTGGAGTGACCTCCCCCTACTGTGGAGCTTGGTAGTGGATGAACTACTGGAAGAATTAACTCTAGCGGGAATACACTGCATAGGGTATGCAGATGACATAGTCATGATTGCACGGGGGAAACATGAAGGTACTGTGTGCTATTATCCAAAGAGGACTTCGCATCACTGAGAGATGGTGCAGGACTGTCGGGCTGAGTATCAACTCACATAAAACCGCGGTAGTGCCATTCACCAGAAAGCGAAGTTTGAAAAACTTGAAAAGAATCCATCTAGATGGAAAGGAAATACTGCCATCACAGGAAGTGAAATATCTAGGAATAACCCTGGATAGTAAACTTCTCTGGAACAGGCATATTAAGAATATTACCAGCAAAGCCATAAAGGCTTTCATGATATGCAGAAGACTGGCGGGAAATAGGTGGGGCTGCGCCCCAAAAATTTTGCGCTAGATGTATGCCATGATAGTAAGACCCATGATTACATATGGAGCAGTTGCTTGGTAGACAAAACTAGAGCAACGTACAGCAAGGCAAAACCTGCAAAGTACAGAGACTGGCATGTATCTGTATCACAGGTGCCATGAGAACATGTCCAACAGCAGCAATGGAGGTCATTTTAGACCTAACACCACTGCATATTGTCGTCGGTAGTTATGCCAATACGACAATGATTAGATTGGTCATAGACGGAAACAGTACTGGGAGAATTTTTAGGTCAGGGGCTTGGAACACCTTCAAAAAGAAAATTCCACTTCTCCAACTTCCAGTGGATGACATACCAAGAATTTACAACTTTGAGAAACACCTCACTGTAGTATTGAGTAATAAAAAGGATTGGAAGGAATAAACGCTTACTCAGCATATAAAAGACCATACCATAACGTGGTATACTGATGCTTCCAAAACCAAAGCAGGGACAGGGATAGGAGTATTTGGGCCGAAAATCAAATACTCCGAACCAATGGGCACCTACTCCAGTATCCTTCAGGCAGAAATTTACGCTATCGAAAGATGTGTACAATTTATCTTAGACAGGAACTATCGAAAACAGGAAATTGCCATCCTATCCGATAGTCATGCAGCACTAAACGCGATCAACTCAGTAACCATCAATTCGAAGTTGGTCAAAGAATGCCTAGAGAAGCTCAACAAGTTGGGCAAAGAAAATAAAGTCCTCCTACTCTGGGTGCCTGCTCACCAAGGGATAGAAAGCAATGAAAAAGCAAATGATCTAGCTAGGAAAGGAGCGAACACTCCACTAACTGGACCAGAACCGTTCTGTTTTCCAAGCGGAAACCAGCTGAAAGCGGAACTGAAGAATATGGAAGACTCCAACCGCAACTTAGAATGGGTGTCTTCCAACGGTCTAAGACACTCGAAAAAGTTCCTCAGAACCTACGACCGAGAAAAATCAAAGGCTTTCCTTGATTTAAGTAAAAACAATCTTCGGATTGTCACGGGGTTTCTAACAGGAGACTGTCTCCTCAACGAACACCTCAGTAGGCTAAAGCTGAGAAACAACGGCGAATGCCGATTCTGTGGGGAATATGGGGAAACACCTCATCACTGAGTGCGCCGAGACGACGACCATTCGTGCCATGAACTTTGGTACAGCTGATGTCAAGGATGGAGAGCTGGCCTCTGTGGAGCCGTCTCAGATACTGGCTTTTGTTAAAGCCTTGAGACTGTATGATGAGTTATAACTCGTTATAGCTCAAGAAAGAGGAACACACAATAGATCTTTAAGGTCGCGGTGACTAACTCCCCTCCTAAACATTCTACATTCTACAAAGGACCGTTTAACAATATGTTCTGACTTGTTATAAGTTATAAATCATAACAGAATAACAAGACCATGCAATCTAAGTGAAATTAGTCAAGAAAGATAAGAATTGCCTATAACTAAATTTAACTTTTTTAACATGTCTTGAAAACCGTTCTCTAAAAAACGTAACATTCACCGGTCAACGTATCCTCGAAAATGTACGGTCAAGAAAAGTTAAACCGATAATCCTACACGCTTTTCTTTATTTGAAAAATTTATATTTACATTTTTTGTTTACTTTAATTTACAAAGTTTGGATGTAACAGCTTCACATTTCTGATTTCAAAAATTATAAGAATTGGCTATAACTCGCGTAATTTTTCAAAGAAAACATATTATAGCTTATATCGCTGAAAAGCTTAAAAAATGGCGCTTTTTATGAAGTCATGGCCAACTATGGTTTACATTTAAAAAAACATATGTTTGTATCATATGTCAAAAATGACAGGCTTTAGAAAAAAACGGAGGACACAGTCTCATTAAGGATGTGATTATCTACAACTTTTATCTGAAAACTTTTTGTCTAAAATAGCTTATAATGGAATTAGGGACAATTTTTAAAATACCCGAAATTTGTTTTTTTCGAAATATCTAGTAAGCCATGATTTTTTTCAAAAATCTGAAAGGCGCATATTTATGACCCTACAAAACTGCAATTCTTTCCCCATTTAACCGACTGTCTATCTCCAGTAGTTTCCGAGATACCCATAGAGAACATCGTAGGAAACTCACCCTGTATAGTATGATAATTTTGTTTGATACATCATGTTAGATCTAGAATCAATATAATTTGATCTAAAAATCTGCTTTCATTATTTTTGAATATGAACAATATTACCTCATCACCTATATTTTGTCCCGTGTTGTATATATTAGAGGCCATATCAGCATAAGATATGGCTACTATTCCAGTCCACATTGGATGCCAGTAAATGTCAGATATCATTTTCCCTTTGCACAAATCGACGTCCATAAAGAACATGTATTCTTCGTAGTCTTTAAAAAGAGCTTTGCTTCGCTGGGTTGAATATTCCCTTACGAGACTATCAAAATCGTCAGCGTAAAAATTTATAACTCCGTTTACCTGGCAAATACAGAATAGAAATTAATTTTTTCATATGTTGTGTGATGCATCTCCAACTTGGACATATAAAATTCCGTGCTAATGTTTTCAAAATGATCAAAACTTTTCACAAGAACAAGACAAGAACCCTCCAAAGAACTCACTATGAAGCACATTGTTAATTTTAAATAGTATCTACAAATTTCGTTTATCAAAAGTATAAGTTCATAAAATTATATATTCATTAAATGTTTTTAAATGTTTGTATATACTTTTGTTACAATGTTTGATAAATATATTCAGTGTAGAGATGCACAATAAACTGTACTGAAATCTTACTTTTAGTAGATCCGATAAATTTTCAAAATTTTCATTGGCATATTTCATTATCTGATATTCACACTCCACAGGCATTTCTTGTTTCTCGATTTCGTACAAATATTGTGTAGAAGAGTTTCTTGGATATGTACCTAAATTTCAATAATATAAATTATAATTATAATTCTTTGATGGGTGGAAAATAGTATACCGGATCGGTGAATAATGAAAACTAGATTTACTACTCTAACACTTCATCAATACCTTCCTTCAGTCAATACCTTGCACTGACTGGAGTAAATAAGAGGTGAGGAAAGTTAGCAACTCATTGAAAGCAGTAATGATAAAATACGATCCTGCTTGGGCTGCTACAATCCTGCTTTATCCTGCTTCAAATCCCAACCCATCAACACCTACCTATTTTGAGCTATAGTTACTTCTATTTTGGTTACTGACTTCCCAGTTGGCAAGACATGGGAAGCAGGATCGCCAAAACTGGTTCCTGCTTGCGTTGCTATACCCCTGTTGCATTCTGCTGCGAATTTCGTCCCAGCAACACTTGATGTTTTTAAGATACAGCAAGTTTAAGTCTGATTGGTGACGTCACACATAGCAACACAATAAAAGCAGGATGGCTGAAACAAGTTTTCTGCTTTGGCTGCTATAATCCTACTTTATCCTGCTTCAAACCCCATACTAGCCACTCTTGTTGTTTTTAAAATAGAACGAATCGGTTTCCTTGATTAGGAATGATTTTTTAACTTGATAAGTTTCAGCTTAGGCTGCTATTTTTTTGCTTTATTTGCCTAAAATATGTATAAGCTTCCAAGCCATAAATAATTATTCAGAACAGTTGAACAAAATAAGAAAGGTTCAGAAGCGCCTCCATTGATGCAGTAGGCGTTGATAAAGATATTCAGTGTAGAGATGCACAATAAACTGTACTGAAATCTTACTTTTAGTAGATCCGATAAATTATAACTTCGCCCCTGTTATGCTCAGACAATGAAGTCTTTGCTCCTTACTAAGGCTGAGCATTGTTGTTTGTTGCATTACCTTAGGCCACCATACCAAGGATGCATATGTTACTGAAGGTCTCACTACTCCAGTGTACAGGGTGTCCCATTTTGGTTGAAATCATACGGTATCTCCGTTATTCGTGAAGATAGAAGGGTGCGGTTTGCACAAACCTGTGCCACTTTTTTGTCAAACGGAAGATGTCGTAAACAAAATTTTCATAGCTCTCTTCGTTCCTGAGCTACAGGGTCTTTTTGAAAATTTTGCAATTTGGGACACCCTTTGTATCTCTGTTATTGTTAAAGGTATTGAAACTGTTTATTGTAGAACTTTTTACGTAGAATACAGTGGCGTAGTATGTTATTCTACCAAAAAAATATTTTGAAAGATATAAACAAAAGTTATGTTTTCTTAAATGGAACACCCTGTATATTAATAAATTATATGATCTAGCTTGCCATAAGCTTCTCAAAAATATATAACACTCTATATTTATTTTCATTATTTAATGCAATATTTAAAAAAATATATTAAAAGATCATATTTATTAGTAGGCCATGATTGATAATAAAAGAAACTAAAGAATTATTAAAAGTAATACTGCTATCTGTCTCTTGTTTTATTTTGAGAGCCACTAATTAATTCTTTGTATATTAGGGAAACTTAAATATGTAATTCTTGGAAGCTAGCGTAACGGAACTTTTAAATATTCCTTTAGCTAATTTACGTCAAATATACTTTCAGCCAAGATGGGGCTCCCCTTACAACTTAACTTACAACGAAAATATTAGAATTTTGTTAAATTACTTAATATTTCTCAAATCAATGAATTGGAACCAATGTACCCATATGATGGCCTCCCTGATTCCCGGATTTGTCCGTTCTCGATTTCTGATTTTGGGGATTTTTGAAATATGAAATATATCGTGGCAACTCATACAATAACATACGATGTGGAACACCTGGAAAATGCTTTAATAATGCATGCTTTTAGATATTTGCAAACCCATCTCATTATAATAAATTCCGTTATAAAAAAGAGAAAAATATATTCAGAGGTTCAGTGGTAAAAGTTCAAAAGTAAAATATATCAGTCCCAAATAAAATTTTAATATGTATATGTCTATTTTGGTAAATACCATTTTGATTTTGTTATTTATCACGGCCTACTAGTAAGAACATGATATATTTTAAATATTGCAGTAAATAGTGAAAATAAATATAGAGTGGTATATATAATTTGAGAAGCTAATAGCAAGGCGGATCATATGATTTATAAATATACAGGGTGTTCCATTTGAAATAACATAACTTTAGTTCATATTTTCAAAAATATTTTTTTCGTAGAAAAACAGACTACGCCACTGTATTCTACGTAAAAGGTTCTACAAGAATCAGTTTTCACCTTCTCGATATCATCTATAATAAGGGAGATACGGGTGCTGTCCCAAATTGCAAAATTTTCGAAAAGACCATGTAGCTCAGAAACGAAGAGAGCTATGAAAATTTTGTTGACAGCATCTTCCGTTTAACAAAAAAGTGGCACAGGTTTGTGCAAACTGCACCTTTCTATCTTCACGAATAACGGAGATACCGTATGATTTCCACTAAAATGGGACACCCTGTACAGCCAGTGCACCATCTGTGGTCTGAGGCCCCAGATTTTTCCATGAAGTCGTCTGACTACCGCTAGTGTAGTCACCGCCCTCCTTGTGACATTTTCCAAATGTCGGTTCCAGGTCAGTTTGGTATTCAGCATGACCCCTAGATACTTGACCTCCTCCGAGAGAGGAATCTCATCACCGCAGAGGTCCCCCCAAAATTCTTCGTTTGGTAAAGGGGATTATTACGGTCTTTTGTAGGACTAATATTTAGTCCCTCCCGTGTCACCCATGATTCCACGATCTTCAGGGCTCTTTGCATTTATATTCAGTTTAGTTTTTTGTTTAATAAAAATTTAATTTTTCATAGATATTTGTTTAATGTTTTTTTCCAGTTCACATCTTTAATGAGCCCATGGGCACTCTTATGTAATTTACTGACAGTCTCGTTGTGAAAGGAATCATTAGAAGCATTTTATTTTTGATCTTTTACAGGTTACATGATTGGAAAACTCCAATTCCCCAATTCTTGATTTTCAGTAATCAAAACGAAATTTGCTTTGTATTTCAAAAACGGCATAGGACATGGTATAGGGTTTGAAGCAGGATGAAACAGGATTATAGCAGCAAAAGCGGGAACTTATTTCAGCCATCCTGTTTTTATTGTGTTGCTATGTGTAACGTCACAAATCAGACTTAAACTTAGCTGTATCTTAACAACAGCAGGAACCAGTTTTGGCGATTCTGCTTCTCATGTGTTACCGAGTGTGTTACTAACTGGGAAGTCAACAACCAAAATAAAAGTAACTATAGCTCAAAATTGGTAGGCGTGGCTGGGTTGGGATTGTAGCAGCCCAAGCAGGATCGTATTTTATAATTCCTGCTTTCAATGAGTTGCTAACTTCCCCGATCTGTAAATAAGGCCAGTATTACACTATCAAATTTCTTTGTCAAAGATCTTTTATAAACGATATTTGATGAAAAATTTGACATTATTAATATACAATGTTTTATAAAATCACGCATATTACACTGTCCAATTCTTTGACAAAGAAATTTGATAGAAACTACCGAATCCCACATAACTAAAATCTGCCTTACGAGAGGATACCTATCAGTGACAGTTCTCTCACTTTATTTCGTATTAAATAAAATTTTCTGGATATTGTATATTACAGTTCAAGGTTGGAATCTTCGGTGGTACAACAGCAAAATAGAAACACTAATTTCCAAACAATACACCAAAACACTTTTGCACTGGACGCGCGTTTCGCTAACCATGTAAGCGTCATCAGCAGATAATAAAAACTAAACTAGTATCTATGGAATCTTGGAACCGACTAGGATGGAGCCAAGCAAGTCAAAACTAACCGGGCGTAACAATGAGGAAGATGCATATATTTTATTTTTCGCCAGAAACTGTATGTGTAAATGCAAAAAAAACTATTTTCTTAGCAGTACCACAATTTATAAAACGGGCCATTAAAATACTATGGATAACGCAAACGACGCCTCGCGAATTGAAACGATATTCTATTGGTCTGACGTCACTCGCCGTTCTCGTCGACGCGCGATGGCCAGCAGCAGCCAGACGTATTCCGTTTATGTACGGATTTAGGTGGCGTACTAAGACATTTTTGTTGCTTTTAGCGTTGATTGAAGGAGCTTTTTATGCTTTTTTGTGCAGTTATTATTTGTATGTGTTGTGTGTTCTGAGAATTTTTTAAGTAATGGCAGATTCCGGGTTTGTAAAAGCACAATCAGATAACTTGCCAAAAGTCGATGCTTTTATGTTGGCTGCTGTTATAAATACAAATTCTCAATTTATTGGTGCTGAATTAGGAGGAAAAAAACAGAGAGGTATGTAACATTTATTCTTTGTAGTACTGAGGCATATTTAAGTATAAGTAGGTACCTACTGTTACGAACTTTTATATAGTTATAAATATTAATGTTATAAACTTATTTTTCAGATCAGGTAGGGAGACGTATGGAGATAATGCTGTAGGTTATGTAGAAGTGAAAAGAGACAAAAATATTTGTTTAGTACGTGGAAAACTAACTCCAGAGCATAGCGTGAAAAAGAAAGTTTTTTTTATATATTGACACCCCCTTACCCTTGTTATTTTAAGATTGTTTTTTTACGAAATTATAGGAAATAAATTGTTTATCAGTAATGAAAATATTATACAAGGTGTCCCATAAGCAAACGCCAAAATTAAGTTACTTTTTTAAGTGAAACACCCTATATATTTTTGGATTTTTCGGAAATTTCTAGATATTCTAGATATATTTCATGTATAATATCCTATACCTATCTTCAAATGTTTACGAAATATTGACAATTGAAAAGCGAAAAATACCTACAATTTTCTGGACCACCTTTTTTGAGACACCCTGTATAACTAGAATTAATTTTAAAAGAGAGTATATGAAAAACCATGCAACTTTTTTATTTAATGTTTTCTTCTAAAACTTGCATTTAAGGCTGTATGTGGGTGTCAAAATATAATGAATAACCCTGTACATTCAAATTTCATATACATATTTAAGACAATATACATAAATATATGAATTTACATCAAAATGATCTTCACAACAATAAATCGTAAAAATAGAGGATAATTTAACGTCTTTCTTTTCATCTCATCTTGGACCATTTTTTTCCGTTTTCGCTCATCCATTACTATTTATAAATATCACTAATTACTAATTATGTATTAATTAACACAAATAACTAAAATTTTGACTCGGATTCAACAGCGTTCAAACAGCAAACTGTGTAAAATAAACACGCGTCTGGCTCCACTCAACCAGAAGAACGGCGGGTGACGTCACAGCGGCAAGGCGCGGTAGAGAGCGTTTGCCCGGCCATTTAAATTAACAATATTTAATTGTTTTATATTAGAGGCATTTCTTAACCGATATCAACAATTTTTTTTTGTTCAATTTGTAATTATATGAACTATTTTTTAAAACCATTATTTAAAAACATGCATTTTCCTCATTAATTACAAGAAATCTCATAAATGCCTGACATTTTTTTTAATTTTTAAATTAATCGTTTTCTTTCCATTAATTTTACCTATGAAATTGAAAACAACGATATATTACCATTTCTAGATGTATTAGTTATTAGAAATACTTATAATTGCCTGGAATTTGATATCTACAAAAAAATTCCACTACATATTCTTAACGAATCTTATCATAGTGGCAACGGCTCAGCTACGTCGAAACACCGGTTCCCATTAGAACACCGAAGTTAAGCGACGTAAGGCGATACTAGTGAATGGACGGGTGACCGGTTCGTAACTCTGTATCGTGCTGTTGTCCAAAGGCAAATATCGTTGTGAGTAAGAGTCGATTTAGACACTTGCCAAGTCGGTAGGCCATTGACCATGATATGGCCGAGGACGCGGTTCGTATTCCGCGTAAACAAAGTAGGCCCCGTCCAGATTAGCCCTGGTATATGGCAGCAAAAAGGAGATATATTTCAATACCGTTAGATAGAGAGTTATCCGTTGGTTTATAAAGAAAATTTTAAGAATGTCAATTATAAACTTGTGCATAGAGTGCTAATAATAAATTACAACAACTCTAATCCTAAAGATAAAACACACCTCTACTGAAAAGGTTGGGTATTTATAGGATTTCATGTAAAGGCTGTAATCAGAAATATGTTGGGCAAACTTGAAGATCAATATTAACTAGATTTAAAGAACAAATTGCACAGATAAGATATGACAGACCGGATAAATCTTGAGTTTCTCAACATATTGTTGATAAAGATCATTGAATAGATACTAACAATTTAAAATTAATTAAACAAGTCTCAAATTATAGGCAATTACATGCATATATGAGAGTGTCAATATTAATAAAATTAATGACTATATGAACAGAAATAATGGTCCATTTCCTCCAACTCTTCTGTTTCTATTGCTCTAGATTTTGGTAATTAATTGTTACGTTTTGACTCGCTTGGATAGTTTTGCCACGCCTAATCGATGCCAACTGAGCGCCTATATATACGCTCAATTGTAGATATTAGTTTAATTCTAATAATCTGCGGAAAATTAGCAAAACGCGCGTCCAGTGCAAAAGTAAAGTGTTTTGGTGTATTGTGGTGAATTAGTGTTTTTATTTTGTTGGGTATCGTATGTCGAAATCTTCTCAGTCTCGTTAAACAGACTTTAGTAAAAAAATATAATATTTATAATATCTTGTAATTTACATATTGTTTGAGCGTCTCTGGATATTAAAGTGGGTGCCGCTTGAATCGACGAATCAATCCTTCTCATGTAGATATTAGCCGAACTTTCCTCTGTGCTTTTTAACTCCATGTAGCCATCTCTTTTATCTTGGGCTTTTACTAATCTAAACTGCACTTTGCCCGGAAATATCGGGTAGCGAGTTTCAACTTCGACTTCTATGAGTGGACGGGTATTTTTTATTATCATTTCCTCAACTTCCTCTTCGGTCCCCATCGCATTCCTGTTCGACATAATTGTTGATTACAAAATACATTTCTATTTTTTCAAATTACACACCCAATTTTTCTGTACATAGGCGGATTCAGCATAAAATTCTGCTGTAGTACAATATTTTTATTTGAAGCACTATGCGGTGCTGCTGTTCTATTCCTTATTTACTAAAACTTTGGTTAAATATACTATATCCGTTAAGTGGTTAAAAACTGGAGTAAATATAAGTTTATTAGTACTTACCTATATTTTCCTAAATACAAAGGATAACAGAGTAAATCATATTATGAAAATTTGCATTATCTTATACAGTGTTTTTAACCAAAGTTTCAGTAAATATTTTGGAGTACTATATGCAGAATTTTATGCTGAACAGGAAAATGAGGGTTGAAATTTAAAAAAAATAAACTTCTTAAACACCCTGTGGCAAGATAATATTTTTAGGATATGCCCCTTTATAAACTATGCAACATCTGTATAAAACTTTTATTTTTCATATCTTCGACAACGACGGCGATATTGAACTTCCTCGAACTAATGCTTTGCTAATGCGTATACTGTATACAGACCGGATCACCGTAGTAGTAACATAGGCAGAACCGGACGAATTAGCGTATACCCGTCCGCGCGGATAAAAAGCAGGCGAAAAAATGGGATAAACTAAAAATAGGTAGAAATGTGATAAGAATGTTTCAGAATTTGTATTTATTCGTGTTTTAATAGCCAAAACGAATACATAGACTCGTGACCGTTCTCGTGTAAAATTTTTTAAGTAAAATAATGGATGTTTACGAAGTTCGTGAGAAAATTCAAATTGTAAAATGGTATTTCCAAAATAGGTCTTATCGGGATATACAAACAATTTTTCCACAAACTTTTGTAGACAGGCCAATTCCATCTTTACCTACTGTATCAAGAGTTATTAATAATTTTGAAACGCATGGGTGCGTGTTCCCACAAAAACACAAAAGCCTGATGTGTTCATTAATGAAGTACAGAAGTTAAAGCAAGTGTTGATTTGTGCTACCGCGGATCAAAATCCCACGTTTTCAAGTAATCAAATTGCTGAGGTGGTTGTCCTCAAGGACTGTATTGGATTGTCCTGCCCACAATGCCCGTATTGTTCACGAATATTTGAACAATACTTTTCCCAACCGTTTCCCAATTTGTGGCCCGCTAGATCACCGAATCTTTCTCCCAATGACTTTTTTGTGTGGTTATGTAAAATCCAAAGTGTATGGTCATATTAGGGCTAATAATCTGGATGAGCTTCAAGTAAAAATACGAGAGGCTTTCCAAACTATTAGCCCTAATATGTTAGCCAAACCAAACCAAACCAAACCAAACCGCCTAGGCTTCTGTCTAGCACAAGAAGATGGTCTTTTTGAACACTTGTTATAACTTTTTTTATTTAGATTAATATTTTAGTTTTTTTTTGGGTTTAGAGAATTTATTTATTTTTAGTTTTGGCTTGTAAACACACTCAAATAATAAATATTTAAGTAAATGAACAAAAATACGAGTAGCGGAAAAAGGGGCCAAAAAACCCTACATACAGGGTGGTCCGAATTGTATTCCGGAAACTTCGGCAGCATATTCTGCAGATAAAAATAAGTAAAAAAGTTCGTATAAATGTATGTCCTAAAATGCTTAGTTTCGGAGATACAGGGTGTAGAAGTTCCATTTTTATTTCGATTTTTTCCAAATAATCTCTAAAGAAACGTCAATATTTGGATAAAAATTGCTGGATGGGTGTTTTTTGACATGAGAAATTTGAATTTTAATGTCACTATGACTCCCATTTGTAGGTGGCGCCACCTACATGTGTTTTAACTGTTTTGAAGAGTAATAACTTTTTGTCGGTACCTGTATAAAACTACTGAGTAAAAAAATATACATTTGCGACTTTTTTTACATAAAAAAGGTCTCTTGGTAAAAATCGCTACGAGTAATGGTTCTCGAGATATTTGGAATCGAAATTATCAATACCTGTCATCATTGACATAAATTAAACATGTTGACTAAATAGTAATTAGACTGAAATCATAAATTTGAAATCTTTTTGTGTCAAAAGTTCAAAAGAAATTGTTTAATCGTCATTTTTTCGCAGAAAAACTTATGATTAATTTAAAAAAATAAAAATTTATTATTTCAGTCAAATAACTGTACTCAACGTGTGCTTATTTTTTGTCAATAATGACATGTATTAACTATTTCCATTCTAAATATCTTGAGAACGGTTGCTCGTAGCGATTTTTACTAAGAGACATTTTTTACATAAAAAGTCATGAAAATGTCTATTTTTTTAGTCAGTGGTTTTATACAGGTACGGTCGAAAAGTTATTACTCTTCAAAACAGTTAAAACACATGTAGGTGGCGCCCCCTACAAATAAGAGTAATTTTGACATCAAAATCAAATTTCTCGTGTCACAATACTTTCAGATACCAATTTTCATCCAAATATTGACGTTACTTCAGAAATTATTTGGAAAAAATCGAAATAAAAATGAAACTTTTACACCCTGTATCTCCGAAACAAAGCATTTTAGGACATACATTTATACAAACTTTTAGTTATTTTTATCTGCAGAATATGCTGTCGAAGTTTCCGGAATACAATCCGGACCACTCTGTATATGCTTATTCTTTGCATTAAGTTCATCAGACCGAAGGGAACAGCCATTCGACGACCGGTTTCGGAGATTCTTCTCCATCGTCAGGCCGACTTTGCTGTAACCCTCGATCTGACCAACGAAAAGCAGAGAATAGCATTTGAGTACAATAAGTACTACTACTTAAGTGAAGGTAAACACTTAAAACGAAAATAATAAATACTCGGCACTCCTCGAGTCGTACTCCTAGTCTGTCATGACCGACCCGTCCAAGCACAACTGCAACTGCGTACTGCCTGACCAGCCGACTAGCCGGAAGTGACTGTCGAGTACGAACGCAAAACGGGTAAAGGTAAATTCGTCCGGCAACTTGCTATGTTACTAGTAGCCTGGTCTTCTCTGTATATACAGGGTGCCACAAATTCGAGGTACGAGCATTGATATCTCGGAAACCGTAATAGATACGAAGACGGTTAAATTGGGGCAAAGTTGCAAAGGGGCTTTTTGGAAAAAAAGGATTTTTTGGAAATCAATTTTATTTTTTCCTGTCGTTACTTTTTAGAAAATCAAAAAACTAATTGCACATTCTCATAGCCACTTTATTAGGGTTATCTGGTAGTATTTTTAGATTTTCAAATTAGCTGATAATTTGTGAGATACAGAAGCCAACGAAATTTTTTTTAATACGGACCTGTATTTTTTATTTCGGATTTTGAAAGAACTCGGTCTCTTGAGTAAAATGATATGCCACACTTGATATTTTTTTTGTTTTGGGTACCTTAACAATAACAAAACTATTTAATTATTATTTAAAATAATTTCAAGTCCGACTCTGGGTTTTTAAATTATTTAATCGGATTATATTCATCGCAACAATATTGATCACCGCTAATTAACATTGAATAAGGAAAATCAAGCCAATTGAAAGATTTAAATAAAAAATATCCAGGTCAAAAATATATATTATATATAACATATTATTTTTTATATTTTTATTTTTTAAAGATAAACTTTTTTTATTGTGAATTTGAAATCTCAGTGTACGATCTAATAATATGCATAATATTAATCGTAGTTATAAACAAATCAACTTCTCCAAACTAATTTCCAATGCTCTACATGTTCGAAAAGGTGACCACCCTCCCTATAATGCACACATTTATTTTTCGTTCAATCTTATTTATAGCTCCTTGAACGTATCTTCTTCTTATACTTCCGAATGCATTTTGTACTCTTTATTATAAATATTGAAAGGTATTCACTTTTACAAGTGACCTCAAGTACCTATAATGTCCCCCCCCCCGGCGACAGGTCCAGGAACCTCGCTGGCCATTATACTGCTCTACCATTTCCAATCAATCTCCCGGCGAAATTATTTGATCGTTTATATTATATTGTATTTATGTTATTTATTTTATATTATTTTGCATTATTTTATTGCATTTGATTTTCCATATTCAATATTTTACCCCACGTCATTGTTAAGTTTGAAAGCTTATCAATATTGTAACGATGAATAGATTAAATATTTAAAAAAAACAGAGCCGGACTTGGAATTAGTTTAAATAAATTGTGTTCAAATGGCCAAAACAAAAAAATATACTAAGTGTAGCATATCAACGTACTCAGGAGACGAGTCCTTTCAAAACCTGAAATAAAAAATGCAGATCCGTATTTTAAAAACTTAAGTTGGCGTGTATCTAACAAATTATCAGCTAATTTCAAAATCTAAAAATACTACCAGATAGCCCTAATAAAGTGGCTATGAGAATGCGCCATTAGTTTTTTGATTTTCTAAAAAGCAATGTCAGGAAAAAATAAAATTGATTTTCAAAAAAAAACCGTTTTTTCCAAAAAACTCAGCAGTCTTGAAATTTTTAAAACTTTTTTGATGGCATCTTGGTGAACATCCTAAAGCGCAACTTTGCCCCAATTTAACCATGTGCGTATAATATGTATATTATGGTTACCGAGATACCAATGCTCGTACCTCGAATTTGTAACACCCTGTAAAGTTAAAATTGTGAAGGTTTTAGTAAATTTAAGATGGGACCTCTTCCTAAAATTGACTATTATTGCCATTTAAGAATCTTGCACGATAAATACACCTGTTTAAAAATGTACCTGCTCCTTGATTATGTATTTGAGTTGATGCTTCTCAACTCTAAATTATTTTAAGATAGGAAGAGTAAAACATATTTACCAGCCATGAATGTCTTTATAAAGTTGGTAATACAGTCGCTCTTCTTGATCTTGTTTTATTTTTTCTATGATAGCATGTACGATATCTGTAGCTTCTTCTGTTACGCAAATGTAAAATTCATCTGCTGTATCTTTTGTCTCATCCGCAATATATCCTAAAAGAATAAAATTTTGGCATTTAATTTATTATTATTAATGCAATAATATTTTCTAAGCATTATACATATATAAAAAATTATTCACTTAAGTTCTGTTTCCTCATTAAAACTACTATTAGTACTGTTACAATAGTGATTTGGTTTAAATTTCAAAAAACTCTATTGTAATAGTGATATATCTAAAGGCAGCTACAGACGGCATGGCAAGCCTTGGCCGGTGTCCGCTCGTTTCAACGTTGGCGCATCGTGTCTATGCAAAACATATGGCACAACAATGAAGCGGTATTTTCGACAAACATCAAAGGGACTTTTTGAAACTCGCCAGTGGGCTTGATCGCCGTACACACGACATATGTTAGTTTTTCTTCCATTTCTTGTGTTATTTGTACCCTTGTACAACGCTCGCCTTCACTTGCCTTGAAAAGACTGGCAAAGATAAAACATGTAGTGTGTACGGTCGTCGGTGCCCGAATATCAAGCAAAGACCAACGCTTCTACAAACGTTTGCTGAAACGCTGGCCATGGCTTGCCATGCCGTCTGTAGCCGGCTTAATAGTAGTTCCTTCATTTTAAACCAAAACCATGAGCCTAGATGAAGAATGTATTGGATAGAAAAATTATCTTAAATTTAAAATTTATATCAGTTCATATCAGTATTTATACCGGTCCTACAAAAGACTAAAATTAGACCTATTTATCTAATTACTACTTAAAAAATAGTTAAAATTAATTAAACTAATTTCTTAAAAAATGACTTAAATATTCCCGAATAAGCTAAAAAATATTTGTAGCAGCAGACAAAAACTGAAGTTCTTAGTCTTGTAGTAAAGAAACCATTAAACCATTATGTTAAACATTTTTTCTATAGTCAGATAGTTCTATTGTTATTACTCATGCGGAGAAAGTAGTATCTTTTCGCTTTCTTTGGGAGTCGAAAAGACGCTAATTGCCCACTTCACAATTACCACACAAGTTTTGAGCAAATTTAATGTCGATTTGAGTGCGAAAAGTAAACTTCTCGCACCCAAATTTTCATTGGAACACGCAAATTGACAAGCAAAAAAGACAGTCTCGAAGTGTCAATATTAAAGAAGTGAAGTTGACATTTAAATATTTTTTTTATTTTTTGTTTATTTTATTACGTTGCTTTTTAATATGTCTCTTTTGTTAATTTCATCATGTAAACAAATTATTAAACACCATTATGAAGAAGCAACGTTAAAATTCCTTCATTTTCTACTCTAAGATTCGATTTAAAAATTGGAAGTTTTTAATGTCACTTTCTGCATTCATTTATGGGGTGTTCCAAAAGTTGGTTTTCTTGTCACGAGATTTTTAAAGTATTTTTTGCTCTTTAATAAGTATCTTTTGTTTACATGAAATATAACAAAAGAGGCATATTAAAAACCAACGTAATAAAAAATAGTATGTGCAACTCGTGCGAAGTTGTCGATTGCCCACTCGAGCAAATGAGCGCACCCGCTTTGCACGTGCGCTCAACTTCGCTCTCGTGGGCAATCAACAACTTTTTGCACTAGTTGCACAATATACTATTATACATTTTTAGAACTCCCTACTGAATATAATTTAGCTATGAAATAACCTCTCAGAGCGCTTGCACACACACCGGCAAAATCGGTGCCGGAGTCGGCGCCGACTTTGCACCCGTTCCGACAGATGTATTTAATTCTATTGTATTTGCCGGTCCCCGACTATTGTGCCGGACAGGAGTATATGTGAAGGAGTTAATTTATTTACATTGCAATCGATTTCAGATCCGGCACCGGCAAAATTTTGCCGGCGTGTGTGAAAGCGCTCTCAGTTACCTATTAGAATCTCCGGCCTAGGAAATACTGAAATTTCTCTTCTAACTGGCAGAAACTCCGAACTTTCTTCATGTAATTCCAAATTATCCTGAACAAGTTCTTTCTTAACAAATTTCCATGGGTTTTCGGAAGTTACATGCTCTCCGACTACACATCTACACAATATTGAATAATATAGGTACCGAGTGGTGTATTGTCGTTGCAAACATAGGAAATCGCATGCAAATTTTGAACTGTCCAAATATTGGCCCCCTGTTGATTTTACAGCTAAGTCAATTAGCTGTATTTATCAGGTAAGTCTTAATTTTCTTTTCTTTTCTTCACAGTTTGATAAAATTATTACTTTTTGTCGTGGCAACTATGATATTATAGCGTAATTTTAAACAATATGATGAAAAATACCCAAGAACCGAAATAAATCGCTACTACTTAACAAAGGTTGAAGAGTTTTGTAAAATCTATCTAAAAAAAATAATATGTAGGGTGTACCATTTATTTATTTTTTTAATTTTAAATAGTCGAAATTCGTAAATATATTTAGAACACCCTGTATATTTTATATGGTGTCTAAAACATTATCCTACCAAATTTTTGTACTCCAGCTTCAGAAACAATAGCATCACTGACAATGTTTTATGACGCTGAAATCTAACATTTGTTTAAACAAATTAAAAATTACAAAAACTATTAATTTTAGGTATATAACATTATATACAGTAAAATTATATAAGGATTCTTGGCACTTAACTGCTGATATAGAAATTTAATTCTACGTTGTGTTTGTCATAATGTGGATCAACCTGCTCTCACTACCGGTTTCGCAGCCCTACTCCATCATCAGGTGAGCTTGGGCAGATCCACAAAATGACAACCACAGCGCAGAGATAGTTAATTCCGACTTGTCGGAAAGTGTCGGTTAGATATTAAATGCCGAATGGGAGATAGCGGCCTGCGTGCAATTGTAGTACTTTCGTGCCACCGAGGCACGAAAGTACTACAATTGTATAATTTTATTATATACCTATTATACCTATATTTTATTATATAATTTTATTATATACCTATATTGCAAGAAATTTGTTTTCTATTTTATAATTTGGCTTGCCTGAAAAAAAGCCTTTTACCATCCTTTACTATCGATAGTTGCGCCTCGGTGGCAGGAAAGTACTACCATTGCACGCAGGCCGCTATCTCCCGTTCGGGACTTAATATCTAACCGACACTTTCCGACAAGTCGGAATTAACTATCTCTGCGCTGTGGTTGTCATTTTGTGGATCTGCCCAAGCTCACCTGATGATGGAGTAGGGCTCCGAAACAGGTAGTGAGGTTGATCCACATTATGACAAACATAGCGTAGAATTAAATTTCTATATCAGCAGTTAAGTGGCAAGAATTATATACCTATACTGCAAGAAATTTGTTTTCTATTATATACAGTATGACCTCGGCTTGTCTTTAAAAGAGGAAACACTTTTTTGTTATTGACATTTTGAAAAAAATGCATTCTTCATAAAAAATTTTGTTTGTTGTAAAGTGGTTAATCCCGTTTATAATTTTCCAAACTTCCATACCGTTTTAGAAAAAATTAAGAGAAACATGAAATTATTGCTGATATTTTCCCAAAGAAGTCCCAAAAATCAAAAGGCTTTTTTATTGTTATATCAGTTCCATTTAATTCTTCAGGTGCGTCCACCCCGGCTGCGCCGTCGCTCCGCGCCGCGCCACGCAAATAATTTTTTTAACATGTACTTTTGAAGTGTTTTTTTTTAGTGCGCACAAAAGTATATAAAAAAATGATTACCGCGGTGCGGCGCAGGATGTGAACGCACCTTTGGATAGATGGTTATTATTAAATTTGATTAAAGTCATATTCTTTGCTGTTGTTAAAGTATATTACCTGATTACAGTTGAGGGTTGGAACCTTTGGTGTTACACAGCAAAATAAAAACATTACCTGATATTCTCATAATTTCCGATAACTATCATCACCCTTAACGTAGCATTGAACTAAATAAATTTTGTATCTAACTACCCTTATTTATAAAAAATATATATACAAGGCTACTACTTTAACATTTTAAAACAGCAAAAAATATTATTTTTGCTCTTTTAAAATGTTAAAGAATGAATTAATTTGAATTTACCTATATTACCATAGAAACACGTTTTGATTGGGGAAATTAAAATAACTTTGGTTGCACATCATAATACGACCACCAGCAAACTCCATAAGACGACGCATGGTGTCATTGATGACGTGCAACGAATGTTGTTTTAATTTTCCTTTATATTTTCATGTTTTTCTTAATTTTCTCTGAAACTGTATGGAAATTGGGAAAAATATAAACTGGATTAACGATTTTAGGACAAGCAGAAATGTTTATGAAGAATACATTTTTTTCAATATCTCAATAATAAAAAAGTTTTTCCTCTTGTAAAGACCATCCGGAGACATCATAAAAAAGTTATAAAATTTTATGCAGAATCCAAAAATAAAATAAAAAATTGGCGCCGGGTGGCACGTATATCCGCCCATACTAAAATATGTTAATAAAAAGTTGGTAGGCAGTTCTTTTAGTTTCAAAGTAAAGGAATGTTTCCAATTTTTTTTTATCTCAAAAATTGCGACTGACTGATTTTGATGTTATTACAAATTTTGTTGCAAATATTATTCCTAATCTTAAATTGAAAACCGCGTTTCGCTAGCTACTAACAAAATATTATGTTTTAACTCACAAAGCCCGTTAAACCATAAAACTTTCTAGTGTATTGTTTTATTAGGAGTAAAAATGACACTTTTCGTGGCGAGACTGTACGTTTGACATACAGCCGAAGCACAAAAAGTCATTTTTACTCCGAATAGAGCATGCTATTTTTTTCGAACACCACAAATAATTTTTTAAACAATTTCAAACGTTCCAAATAATATAAAAAGATTTAAAACTCATATCATGATACAAAGAAAACAAGGTATGATATTGCGCAGGTTGGTCACCACGTCACAGGTGATAAACGGCACTATTGGTCGGCAAGCTCCACGCGCCAATTTTTTCAAATTTTCAAACAGATGACACATAATAAATGTGTATAATGTGGCATAACTTTTCAAATGTCAAGCTCGATGATTTTACATAACTTTATTGTCCTAATTATGTATTGTATAATTATTATGTGTTATGGCCTGGGATTATGTCCTAATTCTTCCCTATTTTAGTTTTTTTTTTTATTAGTGGCAATTGAACAATATAGATATTTTTTTGTATGGCATATGACGTCACAGGTGATATGCGCAAACGAAATTCGCTAGATAGTCGCTATCGATCATACCTTGTTTTCAAGTTTTCTATGTACCATTAGTAATTATATATCGAGAAACTATGATTACGGCTCGTTGAATTTATTAACTTATGTCATTTTAATAATATATTTTCATACTTTTATGCTTCGGCGTAAAAGTGCTTTACTTTTATGCCTAGGCGTTAAAATGACTTTTTTATATTGTCAATCACGTCGCAAAAATTAATACTTTAGTGACATTTGAAAAGAAATAATATTTTGAAACTAACAGGTATATTTTTCTGCCACAAAAAAGTTATTATACAGTGATAAATGATAGATGAATGAGATCATATTGAAATATGCTACTGGGTAAAAAAAATTGGCTAAATTTTATCAATAATACTCCATTTCAAAAGTTATTTTCCAAAATAATTAATATTTTTTTAATAATTGATTGCAATTAATATTATTTGACTAGTTTAATTTGATTAATAAGACTCTTAAGATAAGACTAGATTAATTTAATTTAAAATAAATTTGATCAGATTTTTTTTCGTATATTCAGCTACCAGAAACCCAAAATTATATGATAACGCACTTTTAAACGAAGTTGAAGGAAGATTATAATGTATCTATCACACTATTTAAAAGAACTACTACAATTATTAGGAGAAAAACAAAAAGAAAAAAATACCCAAATACCTTCACCTTCTACTCAACTACAAAATTAATGAATATAATCTCTTACAAGAACACTACACAAACTACTTCTTGTATTATTCTACACTAAACAAATTATCAAACTTATTAATTAATCAAACATAAAGAAAAATTAACCAAATTACCCCTTTACCTACTTAACTTCAAAATAAAATATAAAAACACTACTAAAATCTCTCTTCTGGTAGTCTACACTAAACATTATAGTCAAAATTAATAAATTAATCTAATTTTACATTACAACTACAAAGAAACAAGAAAATGTTTTAAAACTACAAGAAACAAAACGTCGATACGTGTAACCAGGTGGTAATAGATCAAGCGGACAAAGAATATAAAATACTTTAAAATGTGCATTCAGAAAGAAAAAATATCTCGAAAATTATCTAAACAAACATTTTTTTTTCTTATCAGTGAAAAACATCGACCTCGTCGGCCTTGCGGAATTTGTCGGGTATTTACAATGGTCGAATTGTATAATTACCAGCTTTTATAGCATATCTAATAGACAAAAAGTATCTGGTCGATTAGTAACCAATTGGCACAGTCCGAAAAATATCGATTTTTATTTTCTCTGTTTTTATTGGCCGCTTCTAAATTCAGAGTAACAAAAATATTTTTTTGAAGTAAAAGACTGTGAAATATGCCCCGCCATCTGGTGCTTTACATCCATAAAGGTCTTAGGTTGAGCTACTTTAAAAATTCATATACAAGGGTACAGCGTTTAAAAAAAAACATGATGCTATATCTGCCACACTTTTTTGAAGCACCCTGTATACTCTAATTTTACAATGTGCATCTTTGGTGCATCATGGGTGCATCTTAACCTTCCCTATAACTTTTCTATTTAACATTTTTAAATAATTCTCAAAACAAATAAAATAATGAGCTTTACTCTATCCTTGACTGATCCTGTACAGAAAACACAACAAATCAATGTTCTTACTCTATAATTTTTTGAGTCAATTCCGACATTACAATTTTTCTTACACCTGGAATACTGAACAAGTCTTTCTGTCTCTTCTTTCTTTTCTTGCGCCGTCTTTTAGGACTCGCCATTTTATCTTCCAGATCGTCCTGATTTTTATCTAACAAATTCTTATCCATTACAGAACTTTATTATTATAACTTTCTAAAATTATTACTATATGACAATTAAGCTCAACCTTAAAATAAATGTGACAAGTAAAGGAGAGCGAGTATTGATCAAACATTTATGTTTAATGCCGTACCTCAGAAAATAGGGTAATTGGCCATTTTGTGCGTTTTTCTCGGACTTTGAAATATGCGATAAAAATAGAGACTTTGTAATTTGTTTAAATCTAAGTACATAGAGTATCCTGTATCCCCGGATTGTCTTTACAACAGGAAAAACTTTTTAATATTGATGTTATGAGAAAAATGCATTCTTCATAAAAAATTTGCTTGTTCTAAAATGGTTTAATCCCTTTTACACTTTCACAAATTTTCATACAGTGTTTTAGTGAAAATTAAAAACAGCATAAAAATATTGTTGAATCACTGCCGTTCTTTAAAAGATCAGCCTGGGGGCGGACTTTTGTTTACTTCATCAGCTGTACATACTTAGATATTGGGTTAGATTCCGTTTCATATTTTGTCGGTTGATTTTTGGTTTTAACTCTATGATTTTTGGTATTATTTATTATTGTAGTACAAAAAACTAATTATTTTGGTGTTTAAGTGACATAAACTACTACCAGATATATGGTCACTCTCGGTTTCGCATAAAAAAATAGAAAAATTGAAAAATTACACGTTGTGTAAGTGATTTAACCTAAAAGTGCCCATACATTTTTTACTCATCGTGATTTTTGTGTGTGTTTTTTAAGACTCTAACAATTCATCAATAAAGCTTATGTGGAGTGTGTTTTTGGTGCTATGCCTCATCTTTGTTGTGTTCCTGGTGGAAAGGATAGTTATACTAGGCAGCCTAAAGTGTCCGGAAGAGCAAGAAAAGTGGGTACGAGTTATAAATCAAGAGAATTCTATTGAAAATATCTTTAATAAATTTAAAAATAATATTCTCCCATGATGGTATTAATGAAAACTGGACAATTATGTTTATTTTATTCATATTGTGGAATCTCCACTCCAAGTGTTGTTGGTTCAGCTTCGATAGATTCAAACACGTAAGTAGGTATTATGATCTAGGGAAAAATAAAGAATATGTGTATTAAAGATCATGAAAAAGATTATTATTTTGAGTTCAAATTTTAAAAAAGATTTTGTAAAGACTAGACTGATACAGTTTAAAAAGAAGAATGTGTTTTTGTTTGATAATATATAATGTATGTCAAGTTGTCAAGCATAACATATATTTTTGTTCAGTAATTTTTAATGAATAGTGTTGATTATTTATAATACCAAATTAATATCAAATATTTAAGTGATGGCTGAATACAATATGAATAAAATAACAATAAAATTGGTATATTTGCATAATACAAAATTAAGTCTTAAGAATAAAGGTGTTACTAAAAATACTAAGAAATTCATATTTCTTTGTTTTAATTGGTCTAATGTTATTTACATTTTACGTAAGAATCATATCATCAAAAAAAATCGGCGTCTAGTTGGCTTGGAAATGAACATCGATGACATTCCCTAAATAACTGTACACATAAAATAATTAACTAGAATTTTAAAATCTTGGAAAATTTGATATTCTTGAACCTTGTTTCTAAATATTCTAAATTTTTTGATTTTCTTGGGATTTAGGTTCGGGAAAAACGCTGATTAAGTTTTCATTTGGTTTTTCATTATTTTTATTTGGTTTAAAAAAAACGTTTCGGCTAACATTATAGCCTTCATCAGTGTTGTGTCATATGAAAAAAATAGTGTCGAATATAGTCCAAAAAATTGCATATAAAATATTCACACCACACACATAATGTTTACTGCGTACTCCATAGACAATGTAGATAATTTTAGTGTTAAAAATAATGATTTTAAAAAATATGTGGTCATCTTTTGATAAGTTTATATTAGTTTATTAATTGCAGTAAACATTATGAGGTGTGAATTGTATTGTATATGTAATGTTTTGGATTATATTCGACACTATTTTTCTCATATGACACAACACTGATGAAGACTATAGTTAGCCGAAACGTTTTTTTAAACCAAATAAAAATAATGAAAACCTAAATGAAAACTTAAATCAGCGTTTTTCCCGAACCTAAAAATCCCAAGAAAATCAAAAATTTTAGAATAATTTTACTTATAAAATGCCAGCGATCTTCATTTCATACCCATCGCTGACGCCTTTTTTTAGATAATATTGTATTATTTGTAAATATAATTTTTCGAAAATTGATACTTGCAAAATATAGATATAAATTTTGTGAATGCAAATAATAATACATCACTATTAGTAGATATTGAATGTTTTTTGTTAAATTAGATCGATTTTCAAACCCCAAAATTTAAAATATATTTACATTTTACCCATTATCTTATGTACCTATACATTATTTGTACGTTGTAAAACATTTGCTGCATTTGTATGGTTCATAGTTTATTTGCCAAAGTATTTATTACTATAAATAGGTATATATGTTGTAGTTATTAACTGTATATTATGTATATTTCATGTAAACTATATCATTTTTAAAATACAAACCAAAAATCTGAGGAATAATTATGTTTTCCATGTATTCTACAACATATTTATTAATCCGTTATATCTAACTAGCGTGACGTCATAAATCTCGCCCGTAGGCTGATCTTTTAATAGAAGGCACTGGTTGAATTTTCACTAAAAAGGGTATCTTTGATAAAAAGTCATAAAAAGGGGTTTCTATGGTAATATAATTTCGATTTTATTTTTTGATAGATGGTTATTATTAATTTGACGTCATATTTTTTGCTATTGTTAAAGTATCACATTTTTCGATAACTATTATCACACATTCCTTAGCATTGAACTCATAGAGTTAAAATTTTGTGCTTATTTAACATTTTGAAACAGCTACAAATAATTTTAATTAAAATTAATAATAACCATCTATAAAAAAATGAAAACGAAATTATATATTACCATAGACGCCCAATTCTCTCTAAAACGGTATGGAAATTTGTAAAAGTATAAACGGGATTAACTATTTTAGATCAAGCAATTTTTTTTTATAAAGAGTATATTTTTCTCAGGATATCAATAATAAAAAAAGTATTTTCTCTTGTAAAGACAATCCGGGGACATACTGTACAGAGGCAGCAGACATCATTTAAGCGTCTCACTCAATTTAACTAATTTTATAATTTTCCTATTTCGTATTTAAGTAGAAAAAATTTTTAATGAATTTTTTTACGAAGTTGCCGATTTTCTACGTGAAAATATTTTAAAACGGCAACTCCAACCAATTCTGACAGATACGACGCCATCTTGATTTTTTTTCCAACTGGAAACCACCACATATTTTAGCATCTTCCAGTAGACAATTTTAAGCTAGTTTCAAAAATATACCGGGTGTTGCATGGTCGAGCGGGACATAGGAAACCCCATGTAAATTTTAATGGGGTCAATTACTGGCTTCCCTAATTATTTTAGAGAATAATTCTATTTAGGTTTATTGAAGAGCACTAAAACCCACATTCAAAAGAATAACTTCAGATATTTTTGACTAGCCCGTTTACGAGTTATCGCCGATTTCTTTTTAAATATTTGGCCTTTCTTATGGCCCTGTATTTACTTATGAGCACCAGTCAAGGTAAAAGATTCCAGAAATTTATCTATTTAGTGCTTTATATGGTGCTTTATTATTATTTAAAACTCATACCTACATCGAAAATATTAGCCATGAATTACACTACCGAAGAAAAAGTATTGAAGATTAAATGGTATTATCAAGGAAATAGTTATCAAAAGGTGTCGGAAATGTTTGCTGCTCTGTATCCGAATAGACCGATACCTGGAAAATCTACAATAGCAAGGAATATCCAGAGATTTGAGACCAAAGGTACCCTAATAAATCACTGCAGATGTGAAGCAAGGCAGAAACAAAGAGAAGATGCAAGAAATGATACCGACTTGGAAGTTTTATTGTGCGTGGAAGAGAACGATGGAAAGATCAGCACAAGGAAACTTGAGGATGAAATAGGAATAGATCACATTACAGCGTTTCGAATTTTGAAACGACATAAATACTATTCCTTCAAATATGAGAAAAAAGCAAAGCGCAAACACGGATAGGGAATTTTTAAAAAAACATATGTTTCACTGACGAATGCACGTTTACCTTAAATAATGAACCAAATGTTCAAAATTATCGATATTGGAACAAAGAAAACCAACACAGGTTTGTCGAAACAAGGACGCAATATCCACAGAAAGTAAATGTTTGGGCAGGGATATTCGGACACAATATTATCGGGCCATTATTTCTTAAGCGAAATTTAAATGCTGAATATTATTTGGAACTACTCGAAAATCATATTTTACCTGCTTTACATGATGCCGCTAGGGAAAATCAGGAAGTTTGGTACCAAATGGATGGCTGCCCGGCACATAGTACCCTGGCTGTTCGGGAATATTTAGACAATAGTTTTAACGGAAACGTTATTGGCCTAAATCATACAGTAAATTGGCCAGCAAGGTCTCCTGATTTTGTATTTATAAATATATCTTTAAGATTTCCGATATAGGAATGAGTTTTCAACCTGTTTTCAATAATAATAAAGCACTAAATAGATAAATTTCTGAAATGACAACTTCCTTTTACCTTGACCGGTGCTCATAAGTAAATACAGGGCCATAAGAAAGGAGAAATATTTAAAAAGAAATCGGCGATAACTCGTAAACGAGCTAATCAAAAATATCTAAAGTTATTCTTTTGAATGTGGATTTTAGTGCTCTTCAGTAAACCTCAATAGAATTATTCTCTAAAATAATTAGGGAAGCCAATAATTGACCCCATTAAAATTTACATGGGATTTGCTATGTCCCGTCCGACGATGCAATACCCGGTATAGCTTAGTATACTTTGCACTTACCGTTTTCGATATACAGTTATACAAAATACATTTAAAAATTAAATTTTCCAGAATCTTTTTAAGTGTCTCACCCAATTTAAAAATTTTTCTTGTTTCCTATTTTAAGATAGTTAAAATTATTATTTTATTAAAAAATTTTCTCG